CACTGGGTATCCATTTAACTCTCATGGATCAGAGACCCACCTTATGCATTTATAGCTACACCAATAGAATACTACAGGTTTTTTATTGCCAGGTTTATAAAGGATAATGGGAGAGGACTAGCCTTACCAGCAGTCTATTTAACACTCTAGAAATACACAGCCTCAAGTATAGCAGCTCTGTTATGTCTTGGGTTCACTGCATAGTTAACTCAAGTTATAACTCAAGTGTCTCCCCTAAAGTTGCTGGCCTACCAGGGGGTCTAGTTTACGGCCTGAGTAAGCACAGCTTGTCAGCTGCTAACACAATCACTCCAGGCTCTTCATGTATTTTTCTGCAGTGTGACCACTCTCACTCAAGCTAGGCTAACTTGAGTGATCGCTATAGTGATGACATAGCCTTAAAATTAAAATGGTTTTTAAAAGCAGCACACTTTTGAAATATTCCACAATTCTGGGCCCTCTCTCCAGCATAATACCTTGAAATAGTTATGAGTCTCAGTTCAGCCAGTTCACCCATTACACTTTACATCGCACCTTAGGCCTGGGTTACACTGGGGAGGATCAACCTAAGTTACGCAACTTCAGCTACGTGAATAATATAGCTGAAGTCGCCATACTTAGATCCACTCACCGCGGTGTCTTCACTGCGGTGAGTCGACAGCTGACGCTCCCCCAGTGACTCTGCCTGCACCTCTTGCTCCGGTGGAGTACCGGAGTCAACAGGAGAGCGCTCGGCAGTCGATTTATCGCGAATAGACTATACGCGATAAATCAACACCCACTGGATCGATCACTGCCCGTCGATCCTGCCGGTAATGTAGACAAGTCCTTAATCTAAGATGTTTTATTTACATAGCACTTTTTATTAAAAAACAACAGATCCCAAGGAGCTTCACTGGTCATAAACATATGAAGATCATTCCCCAAACCAGCAAAAGAAGAAAGTCAGTGAAATGCTCTACAAGTTCAGAGAAGCACTGCAAGACAATTTTGAACTGAAACTAAGAGTGGACTAGTGCAGCGGTTCTCAAGCTGGGGTCCGAGTGTACTCCAGGGGGTCCACCGGCCCCGCTGATCAACTCCTCCTCCTACCTCCTGCACACCACAAGGGAAGAGGCAAAAAGAGGTGGTGAAGAGGAGGGGGAGGGGTACAGCTGGAAGAAGTGAGGTGGGATGGGGCTTGGAGGAAGGGGTGGAGTGGGGGCGTAGTGGGGGCTGAGCATCCCCAGGGAAAATAAAAAGCCAGCTTGGGGATCCGCTACAAATTTTAAATAAAAATAGAGGACCTCAGGTTGCTAAAGTTTGAGAACCACTGGACTAGTGGATTGATTTAAATCAAGGTATTAAAATAATTATTTAAATCATCAAGTGGAAAAAGTTGATTTTAGTAATCAATTTTAATCAACTTTTCCATTTATATGCCAGTTATTTTCTAAAGCAGTGGTCCCCAAAACTTTTTACCTCATGCCCCCGCTTACCGTTGTCCACACTCCGCCCCCCCAGAGCCGGGACTGGGGCCACAGTTTGGGGGGCGGGAACGGGACACAGACAGGGGTAAAGGGGCCAAGGCTGGGGGCAGGAGAGGAACCTTGCCCGTGGCTGACAGCCCAGGCCCCTGGGCATGGGACCAGGGCCAGGAACAGAGCTGGGTGGTGCTCCCTCCCCCCGTGGTGGCTCACCTGGGCCCCAGTTGCGCCCCGCCAAACATTCCTCTGTGCACGCTCCACCGTTTGGGGACCTCTGTTCTACAGAAAGGTGCATTCTCACTGGTTGATGTAACTATTAAAACAGGTTTATTAACAACCAGAGCCTTTACACTACATCTGGTACATCTTTTTGCTACATTGAAGGGTACATTATAACTATATATATATATTGTTTAAGAAATTATATATCTTAATATTTTCAGATTCTTATTAATTGTACATTTTTAGTATGTTAGGAAATGGTTAAATATGTATTGCTTATTTACTACATAATTAACTTTTTGCTCATGATTTGTGTCAAGCTGCATTCAGGTCATAGCTGGAATTTAAACGCACAAAACAGCATATAAATTAATTTTTACTAACAAAACAACCTTATATGTTTTGGATACACAAATTTCTCTTCTCAGAACATGTTTCACATTTACAACTAAATAAGTTTAGGCCTTAACGTTTTTTTATTAAATACAGATTTCATTTTCAACAGGTTTATTTTTACACAGAAAAAATATATAATTTTAACAAAATCAAGAAATCCAATTTAAATTTTAAATGATTTTTTATATAGAAAAAACACCACTATTTTTCCACCGTGGTTTAACCTGGCAGTAATTGGTCTCCGAGAATGTCTCCATCTGCTAGAATTCCCCATAGCACCTGCTTTTGCAAGAGTTGGAAAATAACTACACACATCTTGAGGTATTGCCACTCTGGCCACATCTACACTATGTGTGCTATAGCAGCATAGCTAAGGTGCCATAGCTCCGTTGCAGTATCCCGTAGTGCAGATGCAGACTACAGCAACGGAAAGGGTTTTTCATGCTGTAGGAACTCCACCTTCCCAAGCAATGGTCTCCTAGGTTGACAGAAGCATTCTTCCATTGACTTAGCTGCATCCATACCAGAGGTTCAGTTGGTAGAGCTATGGCATTCAGATGTGGACTTTTCACACCCTTTAACACCGTAGTTATGTCGACCTATGTTTTAAGTGTAGATCAGGCCTAGGTGACACTAACTGGTTTTAGTAAATGGTCAAAAATTCATCAAAATTTAAACATTTCAGTTCCTACTGGAAATTAATCAATATTTCATCTGTTACTATTTCTCAAGTTGTTTGTGGTGGTATTGTAGTCATGTTGGTCCCAGAACAGGTAGGTGGGTGAGGTAATATCTTTTGATGGACCAACTTCTGTGAGTGAGAGAGACAAGCTTTGGAGCTACACGGAGCTCTTCTTCAAAGCTCAAAACCTCTTTCACCAACTGAAGCTGGTCCAATAAAAGATACTACCTCACCCACCTTGTCTCTGTTTCTCAAGTGACATTTAATGGATTCAAAAACAGTGAAAAGCTCTGTGGTAGTCATTTATTTGGGGTGTGGTTTTAGTTAACCTTAGAATGCGCATTTAATTACATTATCCCATAAACAAATGGTTTGATTTTTTTTTAAAAAGAACAATTAAATGACCTAATGAAGAGGTTCTCAACCTTTTGCAAACTTTGACCCTAAACTATGTTGATAAATCATTAAAACCCCAACTTTATTAGTTTTCATTCATTTTTAGTAGTTTGCAATGCCATTTAATTTCATGTTGCATAAATTAAAAATGATAGTTGAAATATAAGTTAACCAATTGGTATATTCGTTTAAAAACATTCACACAAGTATAGTCAGTGGGACAGCTGAGCAGACCTTTCAGAATAAAGATACTCTAGTGATAAGCGAGGTATAAATACCTCTATAGATAGAAAAATGGCAAGAGGCAAATCAAAGCAATAAGTCAGTCAGTAAGGTAGGAATGATGAAATGAACAGAAATCATATGCCCGTATGCTATATCAGCACATGCACTCCAATGTAGGCATATATACCTGTGCAGCCAAGTCACATCCTTCAGCCACCTGATCTATATGCCTCCAAATCATTTGCCATTCAGATCCTCCACACTCTTCCTTGTGTTTACATTTTAAACTTCCCTCAAGAGTTGTCCATTAGAGATAGTTAGATATTTGATATTTCAATACTCAAAGCACATTCACCTGCAAAAAACCCAACACACCTGTCCAATTTATTTGAACATTAACATTTGATCAACATACCTGGTTGTTATATGTATGTACAGAGATTTCACTCAGTTTAGTGAGATCACTAGAAATGACATATTATGGGTGTTGTAAAGATGCTCACCCTATAATAGGGTAATCCCCAATTAAACAGAAAGAGTGGGTGTCTATATTCCTGTAACAACGAGGAATCCGGTGGCACCTTAAAGACTAAGGGATTAATCTGGGCATAAGCTTTCACAGGTAAAAAACCCACTTCTTCAGATGCATTGTTCACTTCTTCTGTACAATGCCTCTCTGAATAAAAGCTCACTGAGAAAACCATTGCTTTGTTTCTATTAATTACACGGCAAGGATGCCAGAACTTGTTAAAACTTACTAAATAAGCAGTTAAAAAGAACTGCCCCTCACAGGGTTTCTGGCACGCCCCCCTCCAAACACCTGGGGTAGAGGCAGATGCCGCAGACAGGGCTGTAGACAAGCAGGACCCCGGGTCTGGCACGGCGTTTCCCCCTCTCCCGCAGGGAGGAACCAGTCAGCCACGCGGCCCTGGGCACCCCGAGCAGGCGCGGTCGAGCCGGGACTCGGGAGCTGCTCTCGGAAGAGCAGAGCGCGGGGCTCGGGAGCTGCCAGCCCAGGGCACGGCGGGGCCGCCAGCTGCAGCGCCAGCCGCATCACCTGTGGCACCCGCGCTGCTGGGCGGCCCGGGGCGGGGGCGCGGGCGCCGGCGGGGGGAGGGCACGTCCTTCAGCCACGGCGCCCCAAACCGTCACCCGCGCGCGGACACACCGCACGGCGCAGCCCCCTCCGCACCGAGAGGCCAGGCAACCAGTGGGGGGGGAGGGGGAGGTGGTAGCTGGAGAGGGGCCTGTGGGGGGGCTCCTCCCGCCCCGTTACCGGTACTGACACCGCCCCCCCCCGCGCTCGCCCCCTGTGAAAGTTCTCAAGGCACCGAGTCCGACCCCGGGGGAGGGGGTCGGGGCCTCGCGCGCCCGCGCGGAACCCCCACCCTCCTCGCCACGAGCCGCACGCGCGCGCCGAGGAGGGGAGTGAGGGGCGCGCGTAGAGTGCAGACCCCTTACCTGAGTCTCGCGAGGCGGCGGCAGCGGACGCGCGGCGCTGCCTCCAACCTGTGCGTGCGCGCGGCACTCGCAGCTGCCCTAAATTACAGACGCCGCCATGATGGAGAGGGGGGGGGGGGGGGAGCGAAAGGGCATCAGGTAACGTTACCGTGGTCACGTCACGCGGGAACTGTAAGGACGGTTCGCGTCGTGTGACCTCCACGCGGCGGCGATAGCAAACCCCCCTCGTCTCTAGCCAATGGGTAACTTCCGCCTCGGTACCTGTCATGGCGGCGGTGAGGGGCGCGTGAGGGTGAGATAGGCGTCCGCCTGACTCGCTGCCCCGTTGCAGCCGGGCTTCCCCCGCTCAACGCGTGACAGAAGCGCCCTCACGCCGGCCCAGGCTCCCTCACCCCGACCGCACGGTCCTGTACCCCGGTCCCACTGCCCCCTAGGGCACTCTCCTGGGGTCGTCCTGCCCCTGCGACTCTCTGGCCCATTGCCCTCGATGGGGATGGGCTTGTCCTGGGGCCCCCTGGCCCCATTGCCCCCAGTCCTCCTGGCCCCGTGTCCCTCTGACCCAACTGCCCCATGGAGCTGGGCTGGGATCATCTGTCCCTGTGTCCTCCTGTCTCATTAATATTTCCAGTATTTTAAATCTTTCTCTCAGCTCCAAAGTCCAGAACAAAAAAACCACACCAACTCCACCTCACCAAACCTGCTCTCCCACCCAACTAAAATATGTGCGCCCCCAAGAAAACTAAGCGTCCCTACTGACTGTGCCAAAAATCGTCACCCAGCTGAGCAAATAATTCACCAGGATACAGCAAAAAAGACATTGCATAGCAATACAGGGGTTTTGGCTATTATTTTTATTATTATTTGTTAAGCAGCAACTGCTTGGTCTATGTTGAGTAGAAAGGCACTGCTCCAAGAAGCAGTATTCAATAACTCTCCCAAATGTAACACATGCTACATATGCCTAAGGGTGACCTGTGAACATTCCCCAAGCTGATCGCTTGGAAAAAACTGACACTGTCCCCAAATAACACAGTAGTAGTCAGCCCTACCCAATAAACTTAGGCCTGGTCTACACTACAAACGTAGGTTTACATAAGCTGCATTAAATCAATCTAATAATGTATGTGTCCACACTACCGAGTCCCTCCCGTCAACCTAAGAAGCCTGTAAAGTCGACTTCTATACTTCACCTCTGCGAGAGGTGTAGTGCTTGATTCGACATCCATGGGTCAACATGGGGATAGTGTAGACACTGCGTCGTGTAATTCGAATGAATTGGCCTCCGGGAGGTGTCCCACAGTGCTCCATTGTGACCACTCTGGAGAGCACTTTCAACTCCATTGCACATCAGCCAGGTACACAGGAAACAGACACTTCACTGTTAAAGCCCCAGGAACTTTTGAATTTTCATTTTCTGTTTGATCAGCATGGAGAGCTCACCAGCACAACTAATCATGGAGACTCAAGACCGCAAACACGCTCCAGCATGGAGTACTCACGAGGTGGTGGATCTTATTGCTGTCTGGGGAGAAGAGTCTGTGCAGGCAGAGCTCCAGTCCAGCTGAAGAAATGCATCTATGCCAAGATTGTGCAGGGTATGGGGGAGAAGGGCTACACAAGGAACACGCAGCAGTGCCACTTGAAAATGAAGAAGTGTACCAGAAGACAAGGGAGGCAAACAGTTGTTCTGGTTCTGCCCCACAGACATGCCACTTTTATGAGGAGCTGCATGTGATTCTCAACGGCAACCACACAACTACCCCAAAACGCTCAGTGGATACCTTCCAGGAGTCCTGGGCGACGTCGAGCAACAATGAGGAGGACATTGTTGACAAGGCAGAGGAGGAGAATGTAAGGTAGGCAAGTGGAAGATCCATTCTCCCTGCCAGCCAAGAACTGTTTTTAACCCTGGAGCCCATCCCTTCACAGGACCAATTGGCGGCGGAGCATGATGCCGGGGAAGGCTCCTCTGGTGAGTACACATTTCCAATCAAACTGTAGGGGTTACGTGCTATTATTTTTATGTTTAATCTGAACAAAAAAATAGGTGTAGTGGGTATTGGTGGCCACTCCAGCTATGCAGAGGGTGCTCTCCAAAAAAGACTATTTATGTGCATGGGGATGGCGTGGGAATCCTCCATGGAGATTGCTAGGAAACTTTCATGGAGGTACTCTGCAATCCTTTACAGAAGGTTTTTGGGAAGGACTGCCTTATTTTGTCCCCCATGGTAGAACACTTTCCCGTTCCACTACAGTATTAACTCTGCTGGCATCATTGCAGCATAAGGACCAGGTCTGCATCCAGACACTTGCAGCATCTGCTCCCTTGCAGCCTCTGTTACCCTCAGGAGAGTGATATCGCATAGGGTCACCGAGGAGAGATGAGGGGAAGTTTTCAATGCTAGCCCTTAAACCGCAAACAATTCAACAAGTAATCCACCCACCGTTTGGTGAAATATGGGTCACACAACCACGCTTTCCCAAAGGTGCCATGGTTGGAAGGGATCACCGTGTATTGCAAGCAGCACTGGAAAAAAAGTGGGGAGGGGCTTCCTATTTGTCTCCCTTCGCACTCCCCCAACACTGTGCTGTGCCGCTTTTGTAACAAACTATTTGGGGGAACTATTTGTAACAAACTATCCAGGTTGCCAGGGGAAAGGGGACTTTTCTCAAGTTCCAACCTGTGATCCCAAGGATGTCTTCACAAAAGCAACAGCACAAGACCTCTTGCCCATGCCTCGTGGCCTTACTCACCATGGCTGGAGCAGCAAACCAACTCTTGCAATAGCCAGCAGTTGTGATTACATTGTGGCTTTCAGTGAAGTGTATTGAGGGGTGGTTCTTTTTTTATTAAAAAAAAAAATTAACCTTGCACCAGAAACAGTGTATGCGCTGTTAATGCTACCCTTGTGCTTTGCATTCCTTGCAGCTGAAACCTTGTCCACCAATGCATCCTCCACACTGGGACAGAGACTTTCCCAGATTAGAAGGCAGAAAAAGAAGACTCGGGAGGACAAGTTCAATGAGTTAATGCGTGCCTCCAAGAGTGACAAGACGGAGCTCAGAGCATGGAGGATTATACTGTCTGAGAACCTGGACATGGACAGGGAGGACAGGAGAGCATGCAGGGAACAAGAGCGTGCCACATAGGAAGAGATGCTGCGGATTATGAAGGAACAATCAGACATGTTGAGGCATCTGGTTGAGGTTCAAGAAAGGCAGCTGGATGCGAGAGTCCCTCTGCAGCCTATGCTGAACCTGCTGCCATCATCACCCAGTTCTACATCCTCCTCTCCCAAACGTCCTATAAGGCGGGAGGGAAGTTCGGTATCCCTTGCACTCAACACCAGGGGAGGGTACAAGGACCAGAAAGCACGCATTCCCACACCTTTGATTGTTATTGCAGTTCATCTATAAGCAAGCTTTCCTTGTTTCTCCCCCCCCCCCCCCCGCCAGTGTTACCAGCCCTTTTGCCTCAGAATATCTTACTTTTCTTTGCTGTCTCTGTGTGTTTGTGTGCATAATAAAACTTAATGGATTGAGGAGAAAAGGCTCTTTATTCATTCAACACACGGTGGTTGGTGGGGGTGGAGTTTACAGGGGAGAAAATGCAATAGAGGGGACAGTTTGGTAAAAACAACATAGGTAAGTGTCACATTACTCTGGCTCATTGTTGAAACTGGCTTTCAAAGCCTCACGGAGAGCAGAGACCCTTGATGTGCTCTTCTTATTGCCCTGGTGTCTGGCTGCTCAAAATTGGCTGCCAGGCGATTTGTCTCAACCCCTGCACCCTGGCAGAAACTTTTCTCCCTTTGTTTCACAGATATTATGAAGCACAGAAGGCAGCAATAACAATGGGGATATTGTTTTCACTGAGATCTAACCTAGTAAGCAAACAGCACCAGCAACCTTTTAAACATCCAAAGGCACATTCCACCATCATTCTGCACTTGCTCAGCCTATGGTTGAACCAGTCCTTACTGTTGTCCAGGCTGCCAGTGTACAGCTTCATGAGCCCTGGGAGCCCTGCAAACTTGGATCACAACAGATCCCACAGTAGATTTACCCACTCCAAATTGAAGCCCCCCTGACCAGTAGCAGTTTGGCGTTGCAAGCTTCAACAGAGCTATCACTACTCATTTCTCCACTGTCAGAGTGGCTCTCATTTTAGTATTGCTGCGTTTCAGGGCTGGGGAAAGCAATTCACGCAGCTCCTGGAAAGTGGCCTTACACATTCAAAAGTACTGCTGCCACTGCTCATCATCCAATAGCTGCATAACAATGTGGTCCCACCAGTCAATGCTTGTTTCCTGGGCCCAGAAAGAGTGCTATACCATGTCAAGGTGATGTGTGACTGTCACCAGCAACTGCGAATTGCTCCGCTCTATGTCTTCCATCAGAGCTGCTCGTGTGGCATCACACTGTTTTGCACGGCGGCTCCTGTATCGGCTGTATAAATACTGAAGGATAAGACGTGAGGTGTTTGTAATGCTCACAACAACAGTGTACAGCTGAGTGGGATCCATGCTTATCATGTTATGGCATCGATGTGGGTAACCCAGGCTTGTGAAAAAGGCTTGGTTTGTTTGACGTTGATTCCAGGGAGGAAGGAAGGTAAATGTGTCATGGGATGCTAATGCCATGTGCCCATAACCACCTGCATCAATGTTTTGGTCCCATAAGGCATTGCAAGCCCAACGCCAAATTGGCTACGTGCACTGTGGTATAGCTACCCACGGTGCAGTGCTCCATGTGTCAATGCAAGCCCTGCTAGTGAGGATGCACTCCGCCAACACAATGAGCATTGTGTAGACACACAAGATCAACTTGCTTAAATCAGAGGCTCGATGTCGACTTACATATAAGTCGACTTAACTTTGTAGTGTAGACAGGGCCTTAGCTTACACAGCCTCAAATCACTAATATATCCTAGAAAATATTATGCTGTGAAGATGCATTTTCCACATGGCGATGTTTTCATACAAAATAAGGAAATTGTGCAAATATAGGATTACTTTTTGTTGACATGCACTAGGAGAAATACCACAATATCACACTATGCCAGTTGTTGAAAAAGTGGCAAGCCTATGTAAGACCCAAATTTGTCTTCATCCCACACAAACTTGTAGACGCTTGTACACTAATTTTAGGCTTGATATCCTGTATAGGTTTCAGAGACTAAAGGATGACGGATCTCCAACACTTAAATGTTCATACTTCCACAGATATAGCATTTTTAGAGTTCAATAAATAGTTTGTAAACTGTGCCGCTAAGTGGCAACATAATGTCTCTCTCTCTTACACAATTTGCAGGCAGACTTGGAGCTGCTAAAGGCATTCCGTGTGCACTGTCAGCACCAAATACTGAGTATAAAATGGTTTGACTTTGAGTGAACTGTCACAATTGTGTAGAGATCTGTCCTTCCTTCAATCACTCATTTTATTAAAAAGTGGTGTTGCATACTCGTCAGCCATGTCACCTGGATGGACAAAACACGCCCTCACGCTGTGTTCTCAAACTCACTAGGGATATGCTAAGGGGTACACGTTCTGACCTTACCTAGTGCCACTCATGAGGCCTCTCCAGAGATTTGTGGATTTGCAGGATTGAGCCAGATCTAGGAACTTCACTACATGATGGCTGGTGCAATGCCATCAACCTGGTCGCTCTGTCTGGTCAGTGCAACCGTCCTCAGTACAGTATATATGTTTATGATTACACACACAAGAACATTTCATATTCCATCCACTAGAGAGCAGTGGTACACATACCTGTTACAGTGGAAAACATAAAAAAAGATATAATTAGATAATAATTCTTGTGGGAAATTTGGTAATCTTGACAATTGTATACCTGTTAGTGATTTTAGGAAATCCCGCAGAAAAAAGTTACTTGAAATAATGAAGCTTTAAAAGAAGTGTAACTCCATGTCTGCGATCCAGTCCACATAGGTAAGGTTATAGCTTACAGAATTGTTGGAGAGCTAAGAAAGAAGAAGATAATGGCAAGTCTGGGATCTTTTTTTAAAATGAAGTACAAGGAGAGAGTAAGGTATGGAAACTTTGTTTGGACAATCAACACTAAATAAAATAGTGTTCTGATTCTTTGTGAAGTTACTTTAAACGTGATCATGTCATAATGTCCAAGTTGCTTCCTACACTAGGAACTCCTGTACTTTAAAAAAAAAATCTGTGTATAATATGTTCTTCTGTATTGAATGACTTGACAACTTTCATAAAGGTTAAAGATTCATTCAAATAGCTGCCATAATGTCTTGTGCTATTATTTCATTAGATGTTAAGATGATTAGCTTGTGTCAGAAGATTATTTGGTTTGAGGCACTGTAAATGTTCAGTAACCAGAGACAAACCAAAATGTAGGAAGAAGTATGGATATGACAGATATTCAATATGTAACTGAATAGTGCTATTTGAGATTTTACAAAATAATGTGAGATTCTTTATTTGCCTTCTGGTTTGGGGTCTTTTCAGGTCTGTTCAGGTCAGGTTTTCAAGCTTTTTTTTGGCAACCATAACCCTGGGAATTTTTTTTAATGAAAGCGGCAATTCTCCTGTAGTGAAACGATTCCAGGTGCTTGGGCTGTAAGGAAAACACCAAATAGAGCAAGGGATTAACACAGCAACGCTGGGCGCTGCAGGACCCCCTGGAGCCGGGTTACGGGGCATCACTGCTGTGTCACCTCATAACACTGACAGGCTCGTTTTGGGCTGGTAACTAAGCCAGGGACCAGCCCCATGGGGTTACCAAGTCAGATGCGCATGCGCGGCGAGCCGCACGAAGCCGCCCCGCGTCTCGGTTCCCATTGGCGCAGGGCGGTGGTGGGCGGGGCTGGAGTGACGCAGCCCCCCCACATCTGTGACCCGACTGACCCGGATTCGATTCAGTCAGATCCTCACGAGCCCGGAGGGACCCCAGCCACCGTCACCCGCCGCCCTTCTCCCCGTCGTGGCCATGGCGCTCAGTGATGCCGATGTCCAGAAACAGGTACCGGGCCCGGCCCGCTCCGCTCCTCGGGGCCAGGGCGGCCCCAGCTCGGGCGGGGTCAGCCGTGATTCTTCCTCGGGTCCGTTGCTAGAGCTGCTCCTCCCCGACCCGTCTGCTCTGCCGGGGCCATGCCCGGATCTCGGGGCCCTGGTGACGGGGCGGGGGCAGCTTCATGTTCCTGGGGCTGCTGGTGTCCGAGGCCCTGGGCAGCTTTGGGGGGCCGCGGGCCACTGCATCCCCCCCAGGTCTCCCCATGGGATGTGGGATCCTCCCTCGTTTCCTGCCCTGGGGGGCTGCGTCGCCTGGCCGCGCTGCCGTCACCGTGACCAGGACCTGGGCTAGGAGCAGCTACCTCGGTGGTGGTGCTGGCCGCATCCGTGCAGTCGGTGCTGGAAAGCGCTAGGGGCCTGAGTGGCCGTGGGGGTAGACGGCTAGGGGGCTTTTAGCCACCCCCAACAGTTTAGAGACCGCATTCATAACCAAAGCCCGGGTTAGGAAGAGAAGCTTGTTTATCTCTCTCCATTCAAAGTGGACATGTGTTTTTTGTCAAGGTACACAACTTCTCATTAAAACAGCAGTCGTCAAAAATAAAAGCTGTCTCATGCCCTGCTGACTGGGGTGACAGAGATAATGCTATTGATATTTAAGATATTGGTAACCTATTACAACACTCCTAGCAAAGGTAGCTGAGTAAGACACCTCCCTCTTCCCCCATTTAAATGAGTCGTTGCCGAAGAAAGAACAGTGACAGCCTTGTACCATGGAGAAACAGAAAATGGAAAATCCTGTGAATAATACCCATGCTAGCCGGTGAATAAGGGGCTTTGACTGCAGACTGAACAATGTAATTTAAAAAAAAAATCAAAACTTTGTATTGGAGGCTCAACACATCTCCCAGTAACATTGGAAGCTCCTGTGTTGACAGCAGACTGGGGGATTGCTAAAGTATTTGGATGGCCTCTGAAAACAAGAGATGATGAAAGTGGTCATGGATTATCTTTTTTTTTTTTTTTATCATATTGTCATGCAGGTATCAGATCACCCTAACACTCATCTGGTGTTTGTACATAACATCAGATTTTTTTTCCTACAGAAATTAGGTGTAAACTTGAATTTGATTATAATGGCTGAGCAGTACTTGCTTATAATCTGGCTCCTGGAGCGTGTACAGTCTTCAACTGTCTGATGACTTTTGCACTTCAGATCTGAAGGGAAAGCAGTCGTCTGACTATAGGAGCTTAGATTGTGCTGCTCCTTTGTAAATTTCCACTGAAGGCTTGTCTTTTTAAGCTATCTGGCTGTCCTTTTGAGTCCGGACACACGCTGTTCTCATTGACAGTAAATAGTGTCCTTGATAACAAACTGGTATGACCTGAATTGCAAATGGTGCACGGTGATGAAAATTACACAGATCCAGTCAATGCTGGTCAGTGAACTTTCCTCTCAAGTGATGGGCAGATCATACAGGTTTGATGCAGGATCAGCAGTTCCTTCTCAGTTCCCATAAACGTTTTCTGCATCTCTTCCCTTCT